CCTTACCTTCTGGTTGGCTGTGATAGTGTAGCAGAGTGTGATGAGGGTGATGGTGAAACAATGATCAGGACACCATGGAAGCACAGAGCAGGGTGCCTGGGCCAGCCATGGGGTCCAAGCAAGTCTTCCTGAAAAAAAGTAAAACCTTGGCTCGAACCCCAAAGGATAGGCAAGGGAAGAGGGGAGGGCATGCTCAAAAGGAGATATAACATGGGCAAAGCCACAGATCAAGAAACTGTAAGACAAATCTCCCAGAGTCTGTTTCTTCACCTGTGATGTGAAACAGGAAAGATAATTATATCATTAGGTTATTTAGAGCAAAACCCCTAAGGTTTGTGTATATCTGTGAGAATTACACTTCTGCACACTCATGGATATACATAAAGGGAAAGGCAGGAACCAGTAATATCTATAACTGCATCCCTAGTTATATACCTAAGAGAAATGAAAGCATATGTCCACATAAAAATTTGTACACAAGTGTTCATATCATTTTTTTATAATAGCCCCCAAATGTAAACAACTCAAATGTCCATGAACTGATGAATAGGTAAATAAAATGTGGTATATCTACACACTGTAATGTTATTTGTCAATAAAAAGAAATGGAGTATTGATACATGCTACAATATAAATGAACTTTGAAATGTTATGCTAAGTGAAAGAAGCCAGAAACAAAAGGTCACATATTATGTGGCTTCATTTATATGAAATGTGCAGGATAGGCGATCTATATTCTATAGATTCTTGTAAATCTATAAATCTATAGAGACACAAAGTAGATGAGTGGTTGCTCAGGGCTGGAGGTGGGATATGGGGGTACTGATTGTTAATGGGTCCTGGGTTTCTTTTAGGGGTGATGAAATGTTCTAAAATTGATCATAGTGATAGCTTAGTGATATACTAAAAGCCATTGAATTGTACACTGTGTTTGAATTGTATTGTATGTTACTTATAGCTTAATAAAGTTATTATTTTAAAAAAGTGATAGCTAGAACTCTCATAGCATAACCTAGGCAGAGTTCTAAGTGTTGTGTATATGTTAACTTACTTAATTCTTACAATATCCAATAGGATAGATACCATGACGGTCCCCAGAAGAGACTGCCAGGTCCACACAGCCAGTAAGTTGTAGGGCTATGATGCAAACCCAGGGGGACTGGCTCTGGGACACACACACACACACACACACTTAACTTCCACTCAAGACTGTCCTAGCTTGGGAATCATTAAAACCTTTGGTTTTAGACTCAGATAAACCTGGGTTCTGACCTCAGCCCTGCCACTTCCTAGCTAAGTGATCCTGAACAAACTACTGAACTCGGTTTTCCCATATGTTCAATAGAGATAATAACAGTGCATACCTCGTATGATTTGTGGTTAGCACAGGGACTATCTATAGTAAGCCATTAACAACTATGAGTTCCTTCTTTTATGTAGTGTTGTCACTGGTTTGAGAACTGGAAAGCACTATCCAAACCAAAGCAGTAGGCAGCCTAACATCAGGCAACTTGAAGAGTCAGCTTATTATTTCTGCCAGGACAAAATTTTGTTTCTGCATAGAAATGGCCTCGTAAACTAGTGGTCTGGCATTCTACCTTTTACATAATTTTAAATTAAAGTTTTAAATGAGGATAAAAATATTTACCACATGCACTAAGCGTTTGAAATGAAGATTTGCTTTTTTATCACATGAAAATAAACAGAAGTGTGGGATGGAGAAAGAAATGTGTCACTTCCCCAGCACTGGCCTGCAAGGGCAGAGTGACCTTGTACAAGAAGAAAACTGCCAGTAATTTCCAACTAATCTAATTTTAAATTTCTGGATTTTTAATTTCATCATGTAGAGACATTTATTCTTGAAAGAAAAAAAAAAGAAACATCATTAGTGATAAATGAAGTCATAATTTTTGCTGGAAAACTCATCCTGTGCAATGCTATGGAGCTCATTTGCAAGGCAGGGAAGCAAGTCAAAGTTCACTGCAGTCCTCTGAGTGCCCAGAATGTTTTTTTGTGAGAACAGTTTGAGGCCAGAGTTATTTAGCATTTTGTTTTGGGGTTGCCACAGTTTAGTATGGTATGATTCAGCCTCTTCTCTCATCTCCTGTAACTTTTCTCCTAACACTCATGAACCTCCACACTATGGAAAGTGCACCACCGTTCATTCTGTTGCTCAGGCCATCTTTGATTCCTTTTGTCCCCCATGGCCAGTCAATGGGTATGTTTGTTTGTCTTCCTCCAAAATATACCTTATCTTTTCGCTTCTCTCTTACTGCTTTGCCACTACTTGTCCAAGCCACCTACAACTACTGCCAGGACTACTGCAATAGCCTTTTAAATGTTCCTCCACTTTCACCATTGTTTCCTACAGCCAATTCTGCACAGAGTAACCAGAGAGATCTTTAAAAATACAAACAGGTCAATCATCAAAATCCAAATATACAATTAGAATATAAAAAAGGTGTTCGACATCATTAATCATCAGAAAAAGTAAAATTAAAGCTACGATGAGATACTATTGGTTGAGTATCTCTTATCCAAAATACCTGTGACCAGAAGTTTCAGATTTTGGATTTTTTCAGATTTTGGAATATTTGCATATACGTAATGAGATATCCCAGGGATGGGACCCAAGTCTAAACACAAAATTCATTTGTGTTTCATATATACATTATACTCCATAGCCTAAATCTATACAACATTTTAAATAATTTTTTCATGAAACACAGTTTGTGTACATTGAACCATCAGAAAGCAAAGGAGTCACTATCTCAGCCACCCATGTGGATAATTTGTGATTATTTGGCATCACCATAATTCCTGACTCTGAATTTATTTATATGCTACTGGTATGCAATCATTTTCTTACACTTATTCACATGTAAGTACTTAACAGTAAAAAATATGACATACCATTAGCACAGTGAAAAAATAGTGTATTCAGGGTAACTAAGCAGTACAGTAGCATCGCCAGCACGCCTGCGTCAGCTGTTAAACAACAGCAACAGCAGAGAAGGTAGGTTTTCAGTCTCCACCTGTGAGTATATGTTTTGATGAAAAAGTTACTCTACACTGTATTTTAATTTTCAGGTGAGAAGAAACATAAGACATAGCTGAGGAACCAGCAAGTTGGTCCTCTAGAGATGAGGAGGCATTCTGTTGGCTGGCTTTTTAAAATGTTTCCTCCAGAATCATCTGGCTCATTAGCTATGGTTTTTGTTTTCTAAGTCTCTCTTTGATTTCTTGTTTTCTTGTTCTGTCATGCACATATGCTACTCCAGTCCTTCAACAAGCCCATCACACATTTCACCGTGTCATCTACACTGCACTCTTTCTGCAGTGTTTTCCATTTGTGGCCTCACGTCAGTCAAAAAGCTTCAGATTTTGAAACATTTTGGATTCTGGATTTTTGAATTAGGGATGCTCAACCTGTACTACACACTCACCAAAATGGCTAAAATTTTAAAAATTAAAAAGAATGCAATACCAAATGTTGCTGAGGACGTAGAGGAACTAGAACTCTCATATGCTACTAGAAGTGACATACATATTTATAACAAGTTTGGAAAATTGTTTGGCAATATCTAATAAAGTTAAATATGTTCTTACTCTATGACAATTGCACTCCTAGGTATAAATGAGTGCCTATATCCACCAGCAGATGTTCAACAATATTCATATTAGCTTTATCTATAATAGACAAACATTGGCAACAACCTGATTGTTAACAGTACAATAGATAAATAGTGGTATATTTATACAACAAAATACAACAAGCAATAAAAAAAAAGAATGAACTACTAGCACATGCAACAAGGTGGATGACTCTCCCAGATTAAGCAAATGAAGACAGACAAAAGTCAGTACTGTATGATTCTATTTATACATGTTTAAGAATAGGCAAAATTAATCTGCAGTGATAGAAGGCCAACTAGTGGTTACTGGGACTTTACCTTTGTTGGGGATGGGGCTGGTTAGATTGAGACGTGGCATGAGGGGATCTTCTTAGGTTTGGGAATATTGTATATCTTACACTGGGGAGGGGGTTGTTTCATAAGTTTTGTGTGTGTGTGTTATCAAGTTGTGCACTTTTTGTGCACATTACAATATGTATGTTTCACTTCAGTTAAAAAAAAATCAATGGCATCCCAATGCACTTACAATAGAATCTATGCCTCATGCCATGGTCTGGCTCCTGCCTTCCTTTCCTCATCTCACACTTTATTCCTCCTTGTTCCTTATGATTTGCCATGCAGGCCTGCCCTTCTGGTTTTCCCTCACACATGCCACTCCCTATTCATTATGCCATTTTATTTTCTTCGTTGCCGCACCACCATTTGAAATAATCTTACTTGATTACTTATTTATTTCCTCTTTCCCCTTCTAGAATGTCAGCCCCTAAGAGTGGAGTCCTGATTTGTCTTATTCACTCTCTTGCTCCAGAATATGCTAAGTGCAGGACTAAGATATTTGTTTTATGAATTGATACAATCTTCAAATATTTGTAGAAAGTAACACTTCTGAATATGTATGATATCTTGATATTCTTAACAGCCTCTCAGATGAAAACACAGTTATTATGGCCATTTTGTAAATATCCTACCTGACAAATTTATTCATTTATTTATATCTATTTAATGTAATAAATATTTCTTAAATTTTCACTCCAGGCAAGGTATTGATTTAGCTAGTATTGTCTGGGGGTGCAATGAGGGAGAATTAAAAATACAGGAGACAAGAGTAGTAACTGAGGGCCTGTGTCCTAAAGCTGGCCTAGGAGCGGAGGGATGTCCCTGCTTTCTGTGAGACTGAGAGGGAAATACGGGTGTGGCTTTAGATGAATTTATCGGTGAGGAAGTGGAAAATGTTGAGAGTTCTTACTTGATGGCTTCTATTTCCTCTGAAGTAGGAGGCAGGGCCATGTGCTGAAAAGGCAAAGGGCAGGGGCGGGTTAGAAGGCTGGAGAAACTTCAGTGCTTTCATGTTCTCCATGCCTGCAAGTACCAGCTTAGCCTCTCCCAAACTGAAGGTTTAGGAAAGGAGTGAGGGAACTGGGCATCTTTAGAAGCGGTGGATAAAAAGATACAGGAATAGGGAGTCAAGAACAGGGGTGAAAGGATATGAAGCCAGGAAGACTTCGGAGAGAGAAAGAGATCAGAGGCTATTGTCACATCCAGATCAAGATGGCAGAGGGATCATACTGAGAAAGCTGCTTCTTCTTTCCAAGCACAGGTAGAAACATTTTGAACCAAAATCTAGATAATAGTAGCAAGGGCATTTGGGGAAAGTGGTAAGTCAGGAGAGAGATTACATTGTTCTAAATGTCTCATGGGGGGCGGGAGGTGGGTGGGTTTGGGCTTTGAATTAACTGTTGACTCTGTTAGGAAAATATAAACTCAAGTCTGTTAAAACCACTAAATGATTAGAAATAAAATGTGCAATTTCCAAACTTGTTGAAGAAAAGGAAAAGGAATTAGGCAAATGATAGTCCAAGGGAAGACAGAAAAGAGAGTGGAAAAGAATTTCATAAATAGGAAATATAAAATCTCAGAGATAAGTCATTAATTCCTAATCATAGTGAAAAATAAATGTTTAAACTCACCTATTAGAGGACAGTACTCTTAGACTGGCTTCTTAAAAATGCAGTTATATATTTGTTTATAAGTTATATAGCTCAAACAAAATAATACAGAAAGATCACAAATAAAGGGATTGAAAAAAAAAAGACATACTGGGAAAGTAGGAAATTAGTAACAAAACAAACAAAACAAAAAGCTGGCTTAACAATACTAATACCAGACAAAAATGGATGTTAAATTAAAAGTATTTCAGGGAACCAAGATTTCACACATACAATGAAACTAGTCACTGGCACAGTAAGACAACCATAATTTTGTATGCCTTTAACAACAAATTTGTTGTGCTGGAAGCTTGGTGGAAGACTGGAAGTTGGCTCATTCAATACTTCTCAAACTTCTGTTCATCGATGGTAGACTACATTTCCCAATTCCCCTCGCGTCTAGATTCTCTGTGTGATCGAGTTTCTGCCAAGCAGAGATCTGAAAGGTAAAAGCAACTATTGCGAGGTGGTGGCCACAGGGTCCTTCTGTCAGTAGGAGGAGTGGAGATACTTGGTTCTCCTGAGACAGTTGCAGTTCTCAAATCCTGGTGCTAGTGCTGGAGGGGCTAAGTGGCAGTCAGAGGCTGGCTATGGGGTTTCTGCAGGATGTTGGATGTTTGTCCTGGCTATGTGGCTCATAGTCTGGGTAATATCCAAGTTTCTTTCCCTAGTTTCCCAGAAATTCTGTAAGCTACCTTGGACCTTGTAATAATCCCTTTCTGCTTAAACTAGCTGGAGTGTATAAGAATGTGATGTCATATGCACTGTGCTAGAGGTAAGTGCTGAGCACTGTGACTGTATATGGGATTCTAAGTCTGATTGGGGTAAGTGTGGAGTCCCTGTAGTCTTCCTAGAACAGGTGCTGAATATGAGCAGCAACATGAGCTAAAGTATGAGTTGGAATTAGCCAGGTGTAGACAGCAGGAGAAGGAGGGCTTAGAGGCATGCAAAGTGGCGCCCAGAAGGTACAGAACTGTAATTAGTTCAGAATATCCCTAACACAGAGTGAGAAGTATGGAGTGATGAAAAAATGAGGCTGTAGCCATGCCGGGGGGAAATCACAAATGGCTTTGCATGCCTATTTGTAGAATGCAACTGTTTGTCTACTCAGCATCCTGACTGCTTCTCCTCTAATCTTCTCCTCCCCTCTTCTCACTGCAATACATACACATTTCCTTTGGGGAACTACTTCTCTACTCCAACAGGCCTGTCAATCATGTGCCCTCCTCCCTGATAACAGAGAAGGGCTCTTGTTCTGGGTCTAACCACTCATGCTAGCCATTCCTATGACTGTGGCCATTGGTCTAAGGTTGGCCCATGTGTCAATCCAGGCCTGTCAGAGCCCTTCCTGTGGATTTTAAAAATTTAAGACTGGTTGTTGGGCATAGAGGTTCATGCCTGTAGTCCCAGCTACTTGGGAGGCTGAAGCAGGAAGATCACTGGAGCCCAGGAGTTCCAGGCTACAGTGAGCTATGATCATACCATTGCACTCCAGCCTGGGTGACAGAGCAAGACCCTGTCTTAAAAAAGAAAATTCAGGACTGGCTCACAGAGTTGCAGATTCTAGCAGTGATTATCCAGCCCAATCTCCTATCCCTAAGGAGAATGAGAAGAAAGCTTGTCTGTGGTGGAAAAGAATTAAGTAGAAAAAAGTAACAATGAGAAATGAAAGAGGAGAAAGAGAGAGAGAGAGAGAGAGAGAGAGAGAAGAGTTTTTTAGCCAGGACAAATCTCAGGATCTAGGCTCTGACATGCCCATGGCTACCCTAGTTCCTGTAGACCTTATGCCATGCTGATCAAAGCCTGACCAATACTCCTACTTATAATCACATTGCTTATACAATTTGTTTATACATATTTTAGTAAATATTTCTCCTCTTCCTCTGCATTTGTTCATTTTTGCTTATTATATAATAGCCCATTGAATTTAACACTTTAACTGCCATGTGAGTTGTATTTAACTCACACTAGTTTTGAGCCCAGGGCTTTGTGAAGCATGTGTAACTCACACGTCTCTTTACCTTGGGAGCCATGAGAACTATTTTTCAAGTTGCATATAACTCACATACAGAAAACAATAAAAAATATCAAATTTCCATTAAATTAGAAAGGATAATTTTGTTTTTGAAGTTTTTATTCCATCTTCATAATAAAACACTATTGCCCCAAGAAAAAACTTTTTTTCTAATGTGGCAGTCGATGTGTTAAATATCTTTACTTATTTAACCATTAGGTTGTTTCCAACATGTCAAACATTGTTGGTTAGGACTTGTACAGAAGGAAGTAAGGAAGGAAGAGGTGGCATCGTGCTTGCCAGCTGCAGGGAATGGCATAAAAAATGAGTGGAGGTGAGAAGGTACACAGCATATTTAAGGATTAACAAATAATCCACTTTGGCTGAAGCTGGAGAATAGTGGGAACAGAAGTAACTAGAGTCTCTGCTCATAGTGTACTAATGATGGGGTAGCTAAGAATAAAAAAAAGGTATGCAAATTGGAACTAGATTATTGCTAAAAATTTAAGGAATCTGTCATGGTCAAAATCATGGGGCAGTGACATGGAAATGCCAGCATGCTGTCCTAAGAGCTACAAATTCCTAGCACTAGGAAGAGTTACCATACCTATGACCATCTTAATCAGCATTATAAGGACTCAGTACAAGGGAAACTACAAAAAAAAATTAACTGAAAAGTGCTAAAGGAAGATTTGAGAAAATGAAGAGCAACCGACCAGGTAGAAAGACAAAATTTTATACAATTGTAACTGTTAAATTTATAAATTTGGTTGCAGTGTGTGTAAGGGATGGGTGTGAGATACTTTTTCACTACTCCTTTGGTTTTTGTGAGGAGAGATGTTCCTGTCTTTTGTCCCAAATTTTCTAGGAATATCATCTGTTGTAAAGAAGGCATCACAATCTAAGGTAAAGCATTATTTAGTAAGTGATATTGAAACAATTGGTTACACATTTAGGAAACAAATCAGGTTAAATCCTCTTTTCACAGTTAACACCATACCAAATCTGATATGGATTAAAACAAATGTAACAAGTCGCATCATAAAAGACTAGAGGGAAAAAAATGTGACTTTGTATCATCAGTGTGAGGAAATAAAAGAGGCTGGGGAGGGTACTTTCTAAGCTTAAAAGTGTTGGAAGAAATTTTTAAAAAATGAAAAGATTAATGCATTATGACTACACAAACATTAAAAATACAAACATTACAAATTTCTATAGGTTTCTTACTCCCCCAATTGATACTTTCTCAATAAACTTAGAATAATTTTTGCATCAATATGAAAGATGGCATGTTATTATATAAAATGCCCATGCAGATAAATTGAAATCAGCAGAAATACAATTTCTGAGTGCCTTCCCCAGGTTGGGTCTGTGCTGGATACTTTGCAAACATTTGGTTTAAAAAGCATTACAAATTACAAGGTGGACATTCTCAGTTGTCCCTGGTTGAAACTGGGGGTCAGGTGTGTAGGGTCATACCTAGCCACTCACGTCATGGGGCACATGCTGTTTTGACTATGAGACAACTGTTCCTTCCTAGCCCCACCCCAGCCAGGTTCATAATCAATTCCCTGTGTTCGAGGGAGCCTGGCCTCCTCCCCAGGTCAGGAGGTGGGTCCTGGATGGTTTCAGTGTACAATGAAAGGTGTGGTTACAGTGATTGGGTTTAGGAAGAGACATGTGGCAAATTCTGGCTAACAAAATGAGAGGGGAAAATCCTTTAGGGGGCTTTGGGGAAATAATTTCTTGCTCTTATAAACAGTGCCTTTTTTTTTTTTTTTTTTGGCCTCTGGAAGGTGTGTAGATGTGAGCCCTGAACAGGACAATGGAGGATGGGGCATGGCAACCTGAAGCTCAGGGTTTGATAATGAATCTGGCTGGGGCAGGGCTGGGGAGGAACAATTGTCTCATAGGCAGAAACAGCACGTGCCCCATTAGGTAGGTGACTAGGGACACTCCTCTGACTCTCAGTTTCTAGCTGGGTCAGCTGGGACGTCCACCTTAAAGTGTTTTTCTAACTAAATGTTTGCAAGTGCATTATCTAGTGATCACCTGGGTGGGGGAGAGTCAAGCCCTCTCAGGGAAAAAGGCCCAGAACCTAACTGTACTCACTCCCTCCCCAAAGCGCCTCTATTTAGGGGCTTCCTCTTTTGGAAGATAGCACATTTCCTTATTGTTTAGTCCTATGGAGACTGGGTGTTCCATTGCCAGCTACCAAAAGTGCCTAATGGGCAAATAAATTGAAGAACTGAGATTTACCATGAAATTCTAAATGGGAATATAACTGATTAACAAATACACGAAAAGAAAGTTTAACCTCATTAGTAAGCAAAGAAAGGTAAATAAAGCAATATTTAGACTCTCTTATTTAAAAATAAAAGACCATCACATGAGCAAAGATTTTTTTAATGACGAATACTGTTATACTTTGCTGACATTTGAGAATGTAAATTATCATATAGCCTTTAAAAATAACAATAGCAGCTATCATTTATTGAGTGTATACTATGTGGCAAGCACTATGCAAAGCAAGCAAACTGATTTAAGCCTTAACCCAATAAGATGGATATTATTATCTTCAGTTTAAGGATAAAGTTTACAGATCCACTGACTTGGTGAGTTCTCACAGATATACTGGGTGGATCTCCAGGGCCATGTCACTCTATAAATGAACCAAATGTGTGCCAAGCACAATGGTAAAGTAAGGGCACTCTGGCCCCCCCCCGCCATCACCACCAAAAAAAAAATTTGTGAAAAAAAATTTTTTAATAGAATTTGAAGTTTGATATGCAAACATTAAAAGCATTAAAGTATTAATAGATACCACAGGGAAACTTCGACTATTAGCCTTCTTCATAACATATTTTCAGCTGGGTATTGTATTTATTTTGAGTTACCTATGCAAGGGGGCAGGTGGCCTCACATACTTTTATCATTGCTGAGGGCCTTGAGGGTCTCATTCCAGCCTGTGGAGCCAGGATTCTGCCAGATCTGACTCTAAAGCCTGGGCTCATAAAAAACCACAGGCACCTAACTTAGAAAGAAATTTAAGGAATCAAATCAGTAGCCTCAAAAACATTCATCTTTCTTAATTTATTAAGCTAAATATTGTGACAAATTATAAAATCTTTAGGAATAAATGTGTTAAAGTCAGAGTTCTTTGCAATAGTAAAAAATTTGAAAATAATACAAATGTTTAACCCTAGGGACCTCATTTATTAAACTATATAAAGAAACTGTTAAAAATAAACTGATTATATTATACAATGTCAAGTGGGAAAAAACCAGCATATAAAAATGTTTATTAAAAGTAGAACTGTGAGGCCGGGTGCGGTGGCTCGCACCTGTAATCCTAGCACTCTGAGAGGCCGAGGTGGGAGGATTGCATGAGCTCAAGAGTTCGAGACCAGCCTGAGCAAGAGCGAGACCCCATCTCTACTGTAAATAGAAAGAAATTAGCCAAACAATTAATAATAGAAAAAATTAGCTGGGCATGGTGGTGAGTGCCTGTAGTCCCAGCTACTCGGGAGGCTGAGGCAGAAGGATTGCTTGAGCCCAGGACTTTGAGGTTGCTGTGAGCTAGGCTGACGCCATGGCACTCTAGCCCAGGCAATAGAGTGAGACTCTGTGTCAAAAAACAAACAAACAAAACAAAATAAACCCTCCCCCCCCCAAAAAAAAACAAGTAGAACTGTGAAAAAGAAAGAAATTTAAGTCTGTAGAGAAAAAGACAAAAGAAAGAAACACACTTAAAAATGTTAACAGAGACTGACTGGATCTTGGTACAATGGGTGATTCTCTCCAAGTTCTTATATTTTCTGTAATGAGGACTTTTTCCTCTAATGACTAATGCTCATTAGAGGAAAAATCCTCATAATCTTTATTTTTAAAAAAGAATAAAGCTCTGGGCAGAGGTCTTTATATAGATAGTAAAAATTACTAAGAAATTGAAAGCTTCCACATGAAGATATTATAATGTGACTCCTCAGTGTTCAAAGGAAAGGCTGGGAGAAAACATGGCTAGCATTTACTCACAGTTTGCCAGCACCACCTGATGTCAAATATTCTGCCCTACTTTCAGCTCGCGTGATTCAATATTTGTTTCAGGAAGCATGGTCATGGTATATACTCACGAAGCATCTGGGTAGTTTTATGTTTCTGGATCATTACATCCCAAAATATCCAAGTACATGCAGAACTCTCTGAAGCTCCAAGGAGCTATATAGTAAAAGAAAATACTAAAATGGAGTAACTCTAGAAGGCTCATGATTATAATTTACTAAAATTCACTCCCTCTTTTTGGAAACTCTTGGTATCTATATTAGCCAATGGCCTTTCCTGGTTTTCCTTGGATCATCTCTGGCTGTTCCTTCTGTCTCCTTTGAGGCTCTTAACTCTGCACTTCTTCAAAATGTATAAGCTCACCTGGTCTGTCCAAGCCCCTGTGCTCTTCTCTCTACACTTTACCCTGGACAACCTCATTTACTTACTTTATTAGTTCCTGCTGCCTCCATATACTAATCACCCTCTAACAGCCCCTTAAGAGCTGGTACTTGATGACTTAAAAATAGGTTCAATATAAAAGTTTGCATTAGCCTTTATTTTTGCATAACAGATGTCTATTAGAAACAGTTATCAAAGAATAAGCATTTAAAACATTGTGTTATCCTTTCATTATCTTTCCCACCAATCTGACCATCTGATGGCTGATGTTTCAGTCTTAAGATGCACAGACTGTTTCTTGCTTTCAGAAATGTGCTTCTTCTGAAGTTACTTCACCGTAGTTTTAGCAATTGTTAAGTCAATGTAGTACTTCAAAAATTACATTGAGGGCTGGGTGCGGTGGCTCATGCCTATAATCCTAGCACTCTGGGAGGCCAAGGCGGGTAGATCACTCAAGGTCAGGAGTTCAAAACCAGCCTGAGCAAGAGAGAGACCCTGTCTCTACTAAAAATGGAAACAAATTAATTGGCCAACTGAAAACATATAGAAAAAATTAACTGGGCATCGTGGTGCATGCCTGTAGTCCCAGCTACTCTGGAGGCTGAAGCAGAAGGAGCACTTAAGCCCAGGAGTTTGAGGTTGCTGTGAGCTAGGCTGATGCCACGGCACTCTAGCCCAGGCAACAGAGTGAGACTCTGTCTCAAAAAATAAAAAAATAAAAATAATTAAAAAAGATTACATTGAGAAATGCGTCAAAGAAATAACTAGGAGGGTACAGTCACTCCATGGCTTCCCAGTTGACTATACCACAGTGAGGGATCATGGGTGACCTCCTCTGAGTAGGATGTCCCCTTCCAGGATGAATGTTAGTATAAATGGGTAATATGATATCCCCACATTATCATTCCTAAGCAAACTCTACCTTTTCTTGTAAATGCTTTAGATCATGTTTGTTTCTCATTGCTTTGTGTTCTCTGACAAGACATTTGTGTTGTCATTGCATCGAAAGATCTGTAACAGGGCACATCAGCCACTTCTCCTTCCTCTGTTCCTCCCTCAGAGTTACTCTTAACTATTTGGGGCGATTTCTCAACTGCACAAGCTTGATTAAGTATTGTTGTGCCCCCCACCCCTGCCTTTATTGTGCTTATCCAGTTGGTAACCAATCATTTCAACTCAACAAAATATTTTAGAGAGCCAACTATGGATGAAGAGCTGTGCTAGGCACTGAGGCGTGCATGATAAATGAAAAAAGAATCTTCAAAAGTAATTATGTCCCCTCCTTCTATCTTTCTAGGAACTGTCAGCCACTCCTCCCAAATGCAATTGCTTTGCAGCTGGAGCTCAGAGTCAAAACCAACCAGGGGCTGGTGCTGGTTAATTTGTTCTCAGTTCTTAATGTTTATTGCCACTTTAACTTATCAGTACAATCTTAGGTGTAAAAAAGCCTGAATTCAAGATTAGACATTCCAAATGCTCCCCAGCTATCCCATCCCAAAGTTTGAAACGTTCTTTCTTAGGTCACATACTCCGTTCCCTCTCCCTTCCCATCTAGCAGCCTCCTCAGGCAGTGACATGACTTAAACCCATAGAAATGATTACATTCACTAGATAATTGGCTTTCTGTGGAGCTAAGAAGACCAAGACACTCCCAAGATCATAACTAGCCCGTTGCTATTTGTTTCCTCTTTCACCACAAGTTAGAAAGTTTGATAATCACCACTATCATTCTTCATTATTATCAAATACTGACACTGGTTTACCCTTTACACTACATTTTTTTGTTTCAAGTTGCAAACAAAGGGGAGCAGACATTTTTCTGCATTCATTAAAAATAGCCTTGTGTTTTCCTCCACAGATTTACTACTTAGTGCCAAGTGAAAGCACCTCATAAGTAGTAAATTCACAGAGCTGGTGCCATCCATTCAAGAGCAGGAAGGGTCGGTCCATGGAGCAAAGACCAATTGCTTTGGAGCTGTGAACGCCGCTCCCCCCTCCCCATGGCAGCAGCGCCATCTGCAGCGTGAGGCTGGACTCCCTCCAAGTACTCACCGCCTCCTTTAGAACTTTTATGGGCCTGCTATTTGAAAGCGTACTCATTCCATATGCAAAGGGTTGGATACATATGCACATCAACAGCTTCTATGCATGCAAAATGTGCAGATGGGCAAAGGAAAATGAAGCAGGGGTTTGATGCTAAAACAAATTATTAACCCTAGGAATTCCTAAAAGCCATATAAGAGGTCTAAACAGCCTCTTTTAGAACTGGTAACTGGAACTTATTTTATATTTCAGAAACTGTGGTTTAGTAAAAGTGTAAGAAAAACAGCTTTTAGAACTTTACTCTTTTTTTTTTTTTTTGCATTGTTTCCTTTGAAAAGAAACATCTGAAAGGTTATAGAATTTAAACCAGCATTATCACCAATATGGATCTTTTCTCCAGGGTTCCCAGCTCTTATGGACCACATAGTCCTTACCTGACAAAGTGCAAGAGAACTAAAGAAGGTGCCTCCTTAAATTTACAGCTGCATGATTCTTTTTAGAAACAGAAAGTAAGTTGAATTTGGGAGTAAGTACTATACAATGCATTATAGCACATTTTCAAATACTTAATATGTCCATAGTATTCATAAATATATAATAGATTTGGCAGCAGGTATACTAAACCTTTCTATTGAGAGTATTTCAAACTAGTTTATAAATTTAAAATGCTTAGATTTTCAGACCACATTTAGATCTAAGTGCTTGCAGATCTAGAGTCAGCGTTTCTAAATGAAGGTAGGTGGTTGACTGGCGGGGGTGGGGGTCTGAGAGAGTAAGTCAAGGGTTGCACCCACCTTATTTGGGCAACAGGATATAACTTGAAATAGGAAACAATGAAGAAAGAACATGTTTCAGTTTTGGCATTGAATTTGAAGGTGTAAGTGAGATATCCAAATGGAGCTGTTCAGAAAACTGTGTAGGCTCTTTGGGAATCATCAATATGTGGATGGCAAGAAAAGCCAAGAGAGCGAGCGGATGAGATTGCCCAATGAGAGTGAGCAGAGAGAGAATCTTGAAGAGAGGGACTCCAGGAAAAACAAGGAGGGCCAGGGGGATGAGAAAAAAGCCAGGAGAGAGCAGCATGGGGAAGTCCCGGGAAGAGAGTGTTTCCAGAAGGAAGGGGTGGCCAACAGCGTCAGCTGCTGCCCCGGCATCCAACAAGGTAATGATGAAAAGAGGGATTCAACGATGAGAAGTTCTTCAGTGACCTTGAGGCACTGGGAGGCCTGGGAGCCAGGTTGCACTGGTAGAGGCATGAATAAAGGGTCAGAAAAGGGAGGCATCAAGTCAAGTTTGACAATGAATGAGGACAGATGGGGGTAACTAGAAGGGCAGTTAGATTAGATGAGGGTTTCTTAATCCTGGCTGCACATTAGGATCACCTGGGGAGCTTTAAAAAAAAAAAAAAAAAAATCTTGACACCTGGGCCCCACCCTGGCAATTCTGACTTATTAGTTATGAGGTGCAGCCTGAGCATCATAAATTTTTTAAACAGTCCCCACGTGATTCTAATGAGCAGCCAGCGCTGAGAACAACTGGGATAGAAAAATAATTTCCTTTATGGGTGGGAGTGAGCTGAGCCTGCCTAAAGGCTGAAGATGGGAGCCACAGAGAAGGGTAGCATAAGGTGCACGAATGCAGAGGGCTGGGGGGCTACAGGGTGGGGCTCCGGGTGGAGACCAGCATCCAGCAGCAGCTAGCCTTACACGTAAGGAGAAGCACTGCTTTTGTTAGGGCTGGGAAAGGAGGAAACTGGAAGGAGGCAAATTTTCAGTGCATCTGTGTTCTCTGTGAATTAGAGAAAAGAGAGAGGGAGCAGGTGGTGGGATCAGCGTTTGGAGGAGAGTGGAGAGGACTTGGCGACACTGAGTGCCTGGGTTAGGTTAAGGACCCCCAATGTGTAGTGTCAGCAGAATGTGAAGCTGATGGTTCTCAGCAGAACATTAACTGAAAAAAAAACAAAGCACATCTTTCAGCACGAGGCTTACATTCTTCAAGTCATGTTGTTAGGAGAATTCGAAGTTGAAAAAGTTAAGACCATGGGCAGCACCAGGCTGGGGGCGGTAAGAGATAGTTACAAATTAACCACTAAAACACCTTGTGAAGGGTTAGAGTCTCTAAATCCAAAACAAATAACTAATAAAAACCTTTACTGATGTCAGAACTTATAGCCATAGTAAAGTGACTGTCAACAGCATTCTATTTATTTTAAATGAGGAAACAGTTAAGTTCTTTCTTTTTAAAAAAACCATATTTACTTCCTAAAAACGTGGCAGGATTTCCCCCCCACCCCCCCAGTGTTTGCACTGAGATGTTTACAAATCCATTCGCAGACTGATTTCCCACACTTCCCACTTGTCTGATACTGCCTGTCTGGTTTTATAACTGAGTAACTGGTATTTGTGTAGCTGCAATCTGAACATTTTGAAGTTGTGAAATAAAGAACATCTATGTGAATCCATGGCTACTTGAATTTTCCAAAACACCCCTTCTGGTAGTGAAGGGGGTAGCCAACTCTCCAGTTTTGTGAGGAACTGAGGAGCTTCCCAGACTTTCAGTACTAAAACCTAGAGACCCAGACGAATCAGAAGGATTGGTCAGTCTACCATTTTCTCCCCCACAACAATCCTCAAGTCCCTTATTAGGGACAAAGTACTTGTTCTCACATGGCCTGTGAAACCAGCAGGAAAGGGAACGTGTCTGGTCTGTGTGCCAGGTTTGTGGTGGGAAGCCGATATAGTGAAAGGACATGGCAAGAATGGTTTGAAGAGCACAACACCATTATTAATGTCTTCCTTCTCCATTTGGCTTTACTGTGGTGCAGTGGAGCACCCACATACATTTAATTCCTAAAATCCCTGCCCAGTTTTCTTCACCACCACTGTTCTTTGAGGAGGCTGTTCTGGCATCTCTAGGCTCTGAAACACCTTTCGTTTGCCTAGAGGCTAGTATCCTAAGGCCTCTTCACTTCCCAGGCCACCAGACCTTCACTTTCCTTTTCTGCTTTCATCCTCAGATAGGATAAGTTAAGTCAAGTACTTACCTTAATTAATCAGACCACAGCACTTCTTGATCAAAGAACCCTAAACATCTCAATACACAAAGGATACTTTGCTCTTTAGAAGTGGAGAACTCTTCAGGAACTCTTCTTCCTTTAGGCAACACAGGTCAGATTTTTATCGGAAAGAAACTGCTTTCTTCCTCATTCTAGGATGTGCTTTGCTTAGAGCCAATTGTAAAATGATCATCTGATGAAAAGTCACATTCTTAAGGAAGAAGAGAAAAACAATTTGTACAATAGACTGAAGAAATTGGAGTTTCATCTGTATTAAATCCTCAATAAATGTTTGTCGATTTGGTGAATAAATGAAGACAAAGCAGATTTCTTTAATAATTGAAACATTTTCTCCTCCCAGTCACCATTATTTTTTTCTGCCTTCACTATAATTTAGCAGGTGCTGTATGCATATTGCAACAAGAGGTGTAAAGCCCTGGATCAAATCTCATGGTGAATTAATATCTTTTGAAGCAACCTGGACAGAACTGGAGACCATCCTTCTAAGTCAAGTATTGCAATAATGGAAAAACGAACATCACACATACTCATGATTATTAATAAATTAGAACTAATTAACACTCATGTGCAAATATGGTAGTAAAATTCAATGGAAATAAAGCAGTTGGGAGGGGGGGATGGGTAAATTCACACCTAACAGGTACAATGCACACTATCTTGGTGATGGGCACACTTATAACCTTGACTCAAACTGTACAAAAGTAATTCATGTAAATGAAACATTTGTACTGCCACAATATTCTGAAATTTAAAAATATATATATTTTTTTTTTTCTTTTTTTTTGAGATAGAGTCTCACTCTGTTGCCCAGGCTAGAGCACCATGGCATTAGCCTAGCTCACAGCAACCTCAAACTCCTGGGTTTAAGCAATCCTTCTGCCTCAGCCTCCCGGGTAGCTGGGACTACAGGCATGCGCCACCATGCCTGGCTAAGTTTTTCTATATATTTTTAGTTGGCCAATTAATTTCTTTCTATTTTTAGTAGAGATGGGTCTCGCTCCTGCTCTTGCTCAGGCTGGTTTTGAACTCCTGACCTTGAGCGATCCTCCTGCCTTGGCCTCCCAGAGTGCCAGGATTACAGGTGTGAGCCACCATGCTGGGCCAAAAAACCCAAATCTATAGTGTATGCAGGGACAGGTAAAATGAGGCCTTTGCTATACTAATGAGCTGTAATTAGTATAGGGATGTAGTAAGGTGTGGAAAGAAACTTACAAAGCAGAGATAAGATCAAAAGAACTTCAGAATACCTTTTCCACAACCACATGACAAGTCAATCCAATCACAGAATAATAGAAAGTTATTAAGCATTTAGGTGGAGTACATAAGGGAAAAATGTATAGTGAATAATTTTACAGATCCTGTATAAAACAGAGTAAGTTCCTCTTTCCGAGGAGAATATGATGGCTTCATATTCTGGTCATTTTAAAACATTTATTCTGGTTTCATATGTGCCAGTCTCTGTGCAGAGTTACATTCAAAAGAAATGTGAATCTGTCTCTGAGAGCCTTGAAAATTAGTGTGTATCTTTACCCTTAGTGTTCCTGAAGAGGCAGACCAGATGCATGACAGCTTACAGAAAGCATCCCAGAAATCCTCCTTGGCCATAGTTCTTTTCTCCAAAGCCTTTCATTCATGGCAGCCCCTAAAAATCTCTCCTGCTTCCTCTGGTCCAAGCAGTGGCCCCTCTTCTCCTGCTCTTTCACCTTTCACCCCCATGCTACTTTCCCAGTGGCAGGGCTCCTGCTCCTCTCTCCCTGTCCTGCCTGGCTGTGGTAGGATGTTGGGGAGCCCTTTACTCACCCCCAACCTTGTTTCTCCTTGGTAGCATGTGTAGAGTGCTCTGGGAAGTGATCCCTTCCTCTGACTGTTGTGTGAAAAAAGACTGTGGAACATTTCTGGTGAATAAAATTCTTCACTGTGTTTTACATGCACCCCTGGTGGAGATCATTCTCTCTGGGGACAGCCTGGGTAGCTGGGGTGGGGGCAAACGGAGCTCAACTTAGGTTAGATGTGAAATTATGGGTGAGGGGTGAAGGGGACTTGTTTACCTGTGGGTCCATCCACGAGGGACAGCTGTGTAAATCTGAATGGGAAGCCCCTATATTTATCTGTTAACAAGATTTAATCTTATTGAATGGCAGCCTAAACAAATCTTGTCTTTTCCCCATGAGGCCTTCATGTTTAACTTAGTTCTTGTTGGCTTTCCACCATCCCTATTCTGATTTGGGGACCTATAGGATGTTGTCATTTCCCCTCACCTTTAACCCTGATAGAGTTGACCCCAGGCTAGTCTATGTGGCTATACTCATGAGGGTGTTCACACATTTTGGCTCAGCATCTCCAATCCCAGGAATTTATGTCAAAGAAATAATCAGAGATGCAGGTAAATATTTGTACCTAATATAGATATAATAGTGAAAAAAATGG